AGTTCAACTTTTGTTTGCTGTCTGATTGCAAGGACGTGGCTTGCTTCGGTGTGGCAGGCTGGTGTAACACAGTACAACAACGCTGCTTGAAGTGTAGCACACGCCATTGCATAAAAAAAAAAAACTTGATGCCAACACCATCTGTAATCTGAAAGCAAAGGCATACAAAGGTGTGTGAGGGCCTCCTTTTCTGCCCACTATCTCAGAGGATATGACACACACTGCTCATGAGTGATGCTGGCAGCCAACCAAATCTGCAGTGCTGTGAGTATGCCCACACCAGGGTTTCTGCATCAGCACGTGACTGCCGTGTTTTCCGTGTCAGCGTGGGCAGCAGCTGTTCATACCTGCATTATAGTGTACGTTTGCATCAAACATTACGGGGTAAAAATTGATTCGCAAGGACCGTGTTCTAGCGCACTGCAGGTTATTGGGCCTTGGCAAGGACTGCAGAAAATTAGTATCAGCTTGAAATTCATGTGAGCAGTGATCACATAACTGATGCACTATTATGTTTTAGCTTTAGTACTTGAAGTCATTGTTGTTTAAAGCACTCAAATACTGAGACTTGTACTAGTTTTATAAAATTTATTCTGTGAGTTTTTAAATAGGTGGGCATTTATATGAAGCTTATTCAAGAAAAGTTAGGGTTTTGTGGAAAGATGGCATGGGGAATGTACCAAAACAAGTTTGCAGTAGCATTATAATTGACTTTGAAAGTAACAAGTAGGCTTGTGTGAATATCAGTATTTTTGTTCGAAGCAAAGTCAAAGCAAATAGTAACTATAGCATAAGTAAATTTAAGTTTAGTAGCTTGAATAGTGAAATTCACTTGTTGTGCATCATCGCAATTCTGTGAAGTGCGGCCTAATTGTGAGTCAGTCCATTTATGCTAGATTTAGCTATGCTTTCCATGTAAGCTAAACCCGTTCCATTCAGCTAAGCATGTAGACGAGCCTGGCAGACCCCTTTCCACAGCTGAAATCCTCAATTTAGACTACAGTATTTCAGGCCCAATCAGCAATGAGTGCAGAATATCTCGTGACAGGCTGCTGTCCACTGCCATGCCCACCTTTGCTGTTTCGCCTCACCGATGCTGCCCTCTACATGCCCTCCTCCAAAGTTACAGTGCAGTGCAACATAAATGCACATCTGCTTGCAGTGGCCATACAGCTCTAGAAGCCATAAACGACTCTTTGAACAAAAGTGAAGTAACAGGGTACATTCTAGCTGAACGGCACTATTTTCTCAGCTGTCATTTCATACAGTTTTACTCGGGGTCGTGACATAGACGAAGGTAGCAGTCAGCTTGTTCAAGACTGAACTTTTTATTTGGGCGAACCTGTACCTGGAAAAAGGAAAATGCAAGGTACGAGCGCTTTGCACTGTACTCAGATAGTGGCAAACAGGGCAGCAACTGTTGGTAATCTGATCTGCGGTGAGGTGTGTCAGCATTTGTACAAGCGATTAAAAAAAAAAAAAAAAAAAGGGAGCATTCAAGCCTTATTGTTGGTGCTTGTGTAAGCTCTTGAATAAACTTGTATATTTGTGCTCCGCGCAATATCTTAGCAGCATTATCTTCAACAATTGTAAAGCTTCTCAAGGATTGCGCTTCGGTCTACACCGAGCATTTAGCAGTATTTGTGGGTGTGACCCGGAAATATCAAAATAAAGCACTAAACACGCATGGCAATATTGTGTGTGAACATGCCTGAAAAATTGGGCCAGTCTCAGAGTCCAAAATGTTTACAGTTATTAAAAGAGCCCTGGAACACTTTTTGGGCATGGTCAGAAAGTGCTGCCAATCGGTAGTAGAGGCTCCCGACAACTTGCGAGCCAAATATTATAGCGTAGTACACGGCCTGGAATTCACAATAAGTTATCAAAGTCAGCTAAAAATAGCTTTCTCTTCTCTCGACATATCATGGAAGATAAGCCCAGTAAGCCCATCTATCAGCCATTGGCTGATTTGAACATGGCGCGCTCGGTTGTTACAGAGGTTGCCGCGAGAGGCAGTCGCTTGTTCATGTGTGCACACGTGATCGCACTGAAAAAGCCACGTATTTGAAGAAAAAAAAAGAAACAAAATGCTGAAGGTCACGAGGCGCGAGTGACGTTTTTTGTTTTCACCTCCCATCTCTCCCTGGTCAGCTTCCAGCGCTTTCGTCGGGCTAGAGAAGAGAGAATGTGATTGCAGCGTGTGACAAATCTTTGCAACTCTGCTCGTACTGGACAGATTCTTAAAATTTTTGTGGCGCTCAATTTTTGAGGGAATACGCTTTTCCAGTGAATGAATTCCATGGTTATTCAAAAAAGTGTTTCAGGGCCCTTTCAACTGCGAGTACAGACTTTATTAATAATCATATCATTTCTTTTGTGAAAAGGATAGTTGTTATACACGGTAAAAAATAATCAGTTTTAAAATAAACCACAGTTTGTAGGCATAATGCATGCACTCCAAAAGCTGAAAACATTGAAACTGGTAGGGCTTGACAGCCGAAGTGTCTGTACTGCCATGAAACCATCTCTTCAGGTGAATTAAGTGGAGGAAAATGCATACATTCGTTTGCTTGGAGTATAGTAAAAATACTAAATTCAAAAAAATTCAAGCTGAACCAAATATCAGGATTTTAATATTCACCCATCTCATCACTAATAATGACTGGTTGTGGAAAGCTAGGAGCAGTACTTAAACTATGTGTGTCTGTTGGGGGGGAGGGGGGCAGGTTTTATCCCATATTATTCAAAATTGTTCACTTGACAAAGAACATGTTTATTGGCATTATTAAATATCTACACCACATAATGTGTCTACAGCCTTCTTGGGGGCAGTTTTGTGTGTGGATGCACTAGAGCTCAAATATTGTATATTATGAAAAAAAAAAAAAAACTAGCTTATTTCTCATGACTCAACTAACTTGGTTCATATTTTTTTAGAATTGAAACAAGGCATGGGAAAATGTCATCTCTTTTGGTTCAAAGGAAGTGAAAGCAACTTTGAGTAGTAGCAGGGTTTGACTTTCAGTAGAATGCAAGTAATAAGCTTTTAAATACACTAAATTTTAAAATTTACTATACTTGAAGCATATAAACCAGTATAACTAGCTTTTAAACTTTTAAAAATTATGAATTGATATGAGGGTAACTTAATAATGTTTGCTGTTGGGCTAGTTGGTGCATAGCTGAACTTGAATTGGTGGCTCATATGTTTAGACAGGAGCGAAGAAAAAGCTTAAGACACGAAAAGCGCACGCTCACAACTAAGTTTTATTCTTCAGAAAGCTTCGCTTAAGAACTCTCAAGCATACGCACTACACCACAAAAAGCAAAATCACGATCTCTGAAAACACGGCTTGATCGAAAACCTATCATCCACTATCATCCACCAACCTATCGTCTTCCGTGTCTTAGGCGTCTGCTTTGCTCCTGTCTTGACATATGTTCCACCAATTCCAGAGAGTAACATGTTCATTTAACCTCGAAGTGGGGCTTTGCAGCAGTGCACATTTTTCCTGGATAGGCACAGCATCCTCATCTGCATTCTCATTGAATATGTACTTCGATATTTTCAATAAATTAAACTTGAAGCTGAGTGAACTCAAATACTTTAATATTTTTTTCTAATATTCTAAGTGCTGAATATTCACACAAGTTTGTAAAATACTGTTTGCCACTGCGGCTGCAGAAGAAACATAGCTCACTGGTGTGCACTCATGGATGACAACATGCAATTCTGAAGGCATGCGGCAAAAATGAAGCTATTCATTTGTAGCAGCAGCTGGGGACTAAATTGTAGTTGCTCTCTCTCAGGTCACTGATAGCGCCTTTGCAGCTCATGTGCACTGAATAAAAACAAAATTGGTTTGCTGCAGCTCCTGAAGCCTTGGTCGCGAACGGTGCGATAGTGGATTGTGGGCACGCTTTTTTGAAGTAGAATGGAAAGTTGGGCTAGTTGAAATACTTGCATGATTGATGCAGCACTGAAGACGAAGACAAGAAAGACAGAGTGCACAGGACAAGAGCTGTCTCACAACTGAAACATTTGTTTTGGAGAAAGAAAAACGGGAAAACAATGTCGAGCATAGTAGACATGCGCATCTGTAAGAAGTTGAAACATGTCACTTGACATTACATGACTTGTTAAATTATTTTTGCTTTATTTTCTTTTTTATGCGCCTGTTTGCTATGCTCACCATTCTTTCCTGTTTTTTCTTTTTTTAAATGAATCTCTTGAGTTGCGAGACAGCATTCATCTTGTGCACTCTGTGTTTCTTACGTCTTCGTCTTTAGCACTGCATCAATCATGCTCTTTTCTGAAGGCCTGCTAGTACTGATGCAAGGATAAACACAAATAAACATGAAGCGTTCTGACTTCCTTGTCATTTCCGTGTTATTGCATATCAATGGCGGTGGCATAGTGGAGTGCACTGTCTCGCTTCATTTGTACTCAAACGTCATTTTTGCTATTGCGTTTCATCATGTGCAGCACTTCGTACTCAATGCTCTCCAAGGATTGTCCGAATTAACTGAGTTGCAGTGAAACTGAACCGAAATAATGAGAGTCTGATACCAATAAACAATGCATATGCTTGCCGGTACCTTTAGAAAAAGTCCAAATTATTCGATTTCTCAAATAAAACAGGGCAGAATCTTCAAGCTTTTACTGTAGGTTGTTGCTTTGGGGGGAGGGGAGGGGGGAACATCGAATTACATATGGGAGGAGATATGGCTCTTGTGTCTTGTTTCATAATCTTTGCTGCTCACCATGTTGATCATTAGTCGTTGATTAAGTTGATACTAGTTTTGATGGCTAAAAGAATTTCTTACTACAACTTGACAAATCATGAGCTAGGCAAATAAAATATAGGTCCCTGCAGTTCATTGGGCATGTTACATTCTCTAGAACTGTACAAAGCTGGTTTCCTATGTGGCAGTATGGTGAGGTACTTTAAGTATGTTGTGCTATGGCCTCTGGAGCTATATTTTCAATTTTCCTTTAGTGCCCAACAATGAGGCTGTGGTGAAGGAACTCTCTCACCTGCTGGACAAAGTCGAAGAGATGAAGAAGCAGAGGCAAATGCTACATTCACACCTGAGGGATACACTCCAAAAAGATGACATCACAAGGCAAATAGTAACTAGGAACAAGGGTGAAGACCTGCAGGTATGTAAAACAGCAGGATTACCTTTGTACGATGTGTGAATAATGTGACATAAAAAGCAAATTTTGCTTTTTTTATGTCCAGGCATTTTTCGCTGCCGAGCTGAAAAAGCACGATCAAGAGGTGTCACTTTTGGAGCAGAACTTGACAGCACAAGACAACATTCTGAAAGCATTGACCCAGGCCAATGCCAGATTTGCAGAGACACGGAAGGCTGCCTCTGATATCCTGAAAAGGTTAGTTCTAAGGTCGAATTTTTTCATGATGAACTTGAATGCAATAAATTGTGCTTATGCTATTCATGTGTCTGTTTGCACACACTTGCACAGTTACATATGAAAGCGTATGCATTGTACCAAGTTGCAGAACTTCCATTAATCCTTTACATATAATCTCGTGTTAACTTTGAATGCATAATATTTCAAGATATCAACAGAGTAAAAATTTTTTGCTGCAACTGATCAGCTCTTGTGGAGCCCATATGACAATGTCTCATAGGTCTTGGGATATCTATTTACTCTGACTGACTATAAAGCATTGCTGCTAACTTATAGCTCTAGCACGGCATAACACTAAAACCTAATTCAAACTAAGACACCATACACAGATAAAACAGAAAGGCTGTGGTTACAATAATTTTTGGTCATTCTATTTATGAGCTCAAGCAAAAGTTCGACGAATACATGGAAAGCAATGTAATTGATTTGATTGATATGTGGGGTTTAACGTCCCAAAATCACCATATGATTATGAGAGATGCCGTAGTTGAGGGCTCCGGAAATTTCGACCACCTGGGGTTTTTTAACGTGCACCCAAATCTGAGCACACGGGCCTACAGCATTGCTGCCTCCATCGGAAATGCAGCCGCTGCAATGGAAAGCAATGTAACAGGTACAAATGAGATGATGTAGCTGTGATTCTGTTGTAGTTAAAGTACTCTGATTTTAGACCCTGGCCTCTTTGCAGCTCTTTCAATATTTTTTTCAGTGCTTGTAGTGAAGTGGATAGTGGCAGTCCAACGGTTTACTGTACATACTTTTGTGCTTATGTAAAATTTTATTGAAGGGACTGACAAGCAGCAAGAATGTGCCACAAAACACTGATGGAAGGGGAAAGACTATGAACTTAAGTGACAGAATCGAGCAATCTTTTATTGATTTGAATAGGATTTGTGTTTAAAATTTTTTAATTGTGTTTAAAAGTTGCAAAATGTGGCGCATCATGTCACATGGTGGACAAGCCTTGATACTGAGTGAACGAGTTGTTCAGGTTGCATTACCCACCATGTAGTCTGTTGCATAGGAGCACCACATTTCATGCTCAAAATTAGTCTCTACATAAGTAGGCATCCTTGCTTTATTCTATGCTTATAGAAAAGTAAAAGGAGCTGATGCTGAGAAATGGTGCTATCTTCACAGCATTCAGTGCAGGGGTATCAAGCTCCCCTCAGATAGTTGCCCACAGTCATGAAATGTAATCCTGCGAGAGCCGGCACAGTGAAGAAGGTCAGAGCCAAAATCTAAAATGTCAGTGATTGTTGCCATTTAAAAGCAAGCATTTCCCATATGTAATGTGTCGTATATGTCAATTTTGAAGGGGGTTTGATGCAAGGCTTGAAGAAACATATTGATGCTGATTCCCAAAATGACTGCAATCTGATGCTGATTTGTTCCACAGCTATACATTACAGCGTGGTGACTACAAGATGCGCCTCAGGAAAAGAATGATTGAGACCAGTTACGTCTGTTTAGCTCGTGAACAAATTTATTGAGGAAAACAAAAAAATGAGATGAAGACAGTCATGTGCGCGGCGAGCTGCTAGCGAAGTGTCTGCGGGCCATGTGTTTTAAGACCCATGATTTAGGGGAATGGTGCCAACTTGTGGAGCACGTGCACATGCCATCATGTACAGTACTCACACATTCAAATGCGACATCAGTTTTTGTAGTATAATGACTGGCTTGTGTAATTTCTCGAGATGACCGCATCATGTTGCGATAAATCTGGCCTGAGATAATATTGGTTCTAATCTAAGCGGTCGACTCGAAATTACACCGATGTGACCCAAACTGAAGACGGTGGATAGGAAAGTATGGTGCATTACTTAGCCCTAAATTGCCCTGTTTTCAGTCTATGAGTACTGCACAGTGAACTGCAGAGCACAAACAGAAATGGCTAGTATGCTCAGTTACCACTGCTAGCAGCATGCGTTGCTTGTCTGACTTTGTCAGTGCTGCAGCTTTAAAAATGCTGTTGGAAAATGTTTCACGATTTTTTCCGTCTTATCACTGCATGATTGGAGAGTCTGAATGGTAAGCATTCTGTTGCACTAAAGAAAACAAGGACTATAAATAATGCTTCTCAGTCTTTTTAAAGCATCAAGCACAGAAACCTTCAGCCTAGTGCGTGTCAAGTTGGTTAAATACTGCTTCTACTTGACGGATGTTTGAGTGCTGATTTTGTGGAACTTGTGGTGAGCTCAGTTCAAATGACTTGAAGCATTTGGTCATCATCCCTGTTAATGAAACTTGTTCAAGTCACTAGAAAAATAAAATAATTGAGGCTTATGAAGATACGTACCTGCCCCCCATAGGTGAGCGAATGGAGTCACCCATGCCTGTCCTTTTTTTTGCTCCTCCCTCTGTTCAGACCTCTCTACATTTCTCATTTCATTGCTCACAGAAATATGTGGCTTGAGAGAGGACTTTTGATTGAAAATATATTGAATTAGTAAATGTCGATACAGACTGCTACTGAGGAAAATGATTTCACATTTTGTTCAATGGTCATAGGCTAGAAATAAGATGGCCACATTAAATAACCTCCGGGCATAATAGCATTGATCATTGTCAGAACTGGCCACATTTTGCATCATATGGCAGTTTTCTGCCTATAAACAAGGAAATATTCAAGGTGTTTTTTTATTTATTTTTGAGGCTGCAGACAAGGCTTTTCTTAGGAGTGGCTTTGAGAACAGTATGCCATTAGCATTAAGCTTTTAGTTATGAGTAAATGTCAAGTGTCATTTTCTATGAGGGGGGTTCATTTTCAGCAGCTCTGTATAATTATTGGTATGATGAACTGCATGCAATTACTATGGAGATCACAGCACCGCTATAAGAACATGTGCCTCATTCATTTTGGCATTTGACTGAAGTCTCCCTTTCATGTGCAAGTCATGAAATCATCCAGTTGCACAATAATGTGAACAAGTATATTGTAATCACTGAACACTCAAGAAAAGCCAAAATTTAAATTTTCAAAGCACTTGGTAAGCATCATTCTGTTGAATGCCCAGCTCTGATAAAATTGCTTTCTTTGTTAAAAGATTTAAGACCATTATAGTATCACATATGATCTTTGTATCTACTTATATATTTTATTTTCTCCCTATTTTTGCTTTTTAAAAGAAATTAGACTTGTGTAAGTTCTGGGTGGAAGCCCTGCATATTATTTTATTTGTTGGTAAAATCATACAGGGATATATAGAATGGAAATAAGATTGCAAATTAGTTTGATACCTAGAGTTAAATATGTATATTACTCATTGTAAAGCTTTTATGAAAACACAACATCTCTTGGATGGTAGCTTGAAGTCATGAGAAATTAGCATTTCTCTAATGTACACTTAGCAAGAATGTTTATGCACAAGTTCAAATATTTTGATCAAGAGTTACGCCTAAACACATGACACAATCTTATAAATGGGTTTGGTTGTTTTATGTGTTTACCCCGCAGGGGCGTCTGCATAAGTAGGTGTTTAGTGTGTAGCGACACCATGGATTCGAGCTAAAGAGAGGGGGGGTTTCGACTCACTCCCACGCCTAGCTGTGCGTGGCTTTGCCGTGTCCGGGGAAAAGGGGATCCTGGGGGTCAAGCCAACGCTGGGTTATTGGACCATTATGGCAGAGGCAACACATCCCTATGGCTTCACGTAGACGGCACCCCTGGACTGACCCACCCAGGGGAAATCAGCAGTCGCCTTTTCCTATCTCTCTCTCTCTCTACATCTTCGTCTTTGTCTCTCACTTTTTATCTGCCATCAACTCCTCTTTTCCGTTTACTTCCTAATTTCCTGGCGGCAAGGGTTAACCCTGTGTAGTTACCCAAACTTGGGTAGTTATATACGGTTATAGCGGCGATGCATGGCTGGCGTCTCCAAGTGTTTACTATTCAACCTTGTAGCGTCCCCTTGTTGGGCTCAGCGGTGGGAGGCCCCCATCGCAGCCGAATATTACATTTCCGTATGGCACACTTTTTTTCCGCACTCCCTGATCGCCGCCCGAAAAGGTGGCGCACTGAAGAAAGCTTCACACACTCCTGAAACCAAAGCAATCGTTCCCAAAGTACCATGTCGTGCACAGCCAAAAAGAAAACAAAACAGTCTGATCAATCTTGCCTTTCCTCGTTTCGAAAACGCTCACAGAAGCCATTAGCCCAGGCTACAATGTAACGAAGTTGGGAAGCGGGGACCTCCTCTTGGAGGTATGCAACTAGCTCCAATATGATAACCTATCTAAACTTGTGGCATTTGGAGACATCCCAGTCTCACTAGGCCCACACAGGTCTATGAATACAGTGCGCGGTGTGGTGTCTTATGATGACCTCCTCCAACTATCTGAAAGTGAATTATTAAAAGGCTGGCTAGATCAGAATGTAGTGAAGGTTCAAAGAATAGTCATATGACGAGACAAGAAAGAAACACCAACAAAACACATAATTATCACCTTTGGTACCAGCGATTTACCCAATTCAATTGAAACCGGCTACTGCAAGCTTCGAGTCAGGCCCTACATACCAAATCCTCGCAGGTGTTTCAAATGTCAGCGCTTTGTACACGGATCGCAAAGCTGCAGGGGGCATGCAACTTGCGCAAATTGTAGCTCCAACGACCACGTATCGGAAGAATGTACTGCAGCAGCCCACTATGCAAAATGCGAGGGAGACTATCCTGCCTGCTCACGATCGTGCCCATCCTGGAAAAAAGAAAAACAAATCCTCGAGCTTAAAGTTAAATCTATTCTTTCAAGAGGCACGCAATCGGTTTTCACTCTATCAATCCATTCCTTCCTTTGCCGATGTGACGCACCGGGGCACCAGGCCACACATTTATGCGGCCGCAAGTGTTACACAGAGTGTGAACACGGTCGCGCCATCAGTGCCCCCGGTTGGAGCAACCTGTACTGCTCCGCCACCTGACAAACAGGCCCAGCAGACTCCCGTGTCTGCTTGCTGGACCCCGGGCGACTGCAAGGGCATTTAGGCCCGAAACCACTGCGAACCTGCCTGCTGGGCAGGCACCATCCGCCACCTAGCAGGAGGTGATACACACAAGTACCACTCCTCCGGCTCCTCAGGCACCGAAGGATAGGCGCAACTCTTTGGAGCGCGCCAAAAAAGAAAAACCCCGAATCACAGGGCCCCAAAGAGGTCCTCCAGGCTAAGGCAACACTTTTTTACACACATGCACCACACAACAATAAAATGGCACAAATACTACAGTGGAACATCAGAGGACTGCTGAGAAACCTCGATGATATCAAAGAACTCCTACTCAAATATACACCAAAAGTGCTATGTGTGCAAGAAACACACTTAAAATCCAAGTACACAAACTTTCAACACAGTACACTATTTTTCGAAAGGATCGGGATGATGCTGTCGCATCATCTGGCGGTGTTGCCATCGTAGTTGATCAAGGAAGAGCTTGTGCACATTTACCGCTCCAAACATCCCTTGAAGCAGTGGCCATCCAGGCTGTCCTCTTCAACAAACTGGCCACAATTTGCTCCATTTACATACCTCTGCATCACCTACTCAATATACAGGAATTCCAGGCATTCATAGATCAACTTACAGAACCCTATGTTGTCCTCGGAGACTTTAATGCACATAGTAGCCTCCGGGGGGGGGGGGGGGGGGGCCACGGTGGTCTAGTGGATAAGGTACTCGGCTGCTGACCCACAGGTCATGGGATCAAATCCCGGCTGTGGCGGCTGCATTTCCAATGGAGGCGGAAATGTTGTAGGCCCGTGTATTCAGATTTGGGTGCACGTTAAAGAACCCCAGGTGGTCGAAATTTCCGGAGCCTTCTACTACGGCGTCTCTCATAATCATATGGTGGTTTTAGGACGTTAAACCCCACATATCAATCAAGCCTCGGGGGGACTCTCGCTGCGATGCGCAAGGTCGCATGATTTAACATTTCCTTTTTTCTTCCGGCACATGCCTCCTGAATTGCAAAAAGCCAAATATTACAATATCGTTAACAACACCTTTTCGATAGACCTCAGCATAACATCTCCATCACTTCTACCTTTATTTAAATGGGAAGTCATCAATAATCCATACGGTAGTGACCATTTTTCCTATAGTTCTCAGCACATTAATATCAAATGCATGTCCTCCACAGGTTCCTAAATGGCTCACCGATAAAGATGATTGGGAACAGTTTTAAAAAATTACTCTCCTAACTTGGACTGACATGGGGGTGTTAAGCATAGTAGCTGCTGTAAGCTACTTGACAGCTTTTTTAATTGTTGCTGCAACGAAATGTATACCATAAACATGCAGACTGTCCGGCAAATGACGAGTCTCATGGTGGAATAATGAGTGCCGTAATGTGCAAAAAAGAAAATAAGGCATGGAAGTTGCTTAGAGATTCACCGACGTCGGAGAATCTTATAAACTTTAAGAACATCAAGTTGCAAGGCAGGAAAACGCACCGACAGGCAAGAAGGGAAAGTTGGCACAAATTTTTATCAGGAATCAATTAATATGCAGATGAGGCGAGAGTATGGAACATGGTTGGTAAGGTGGCAGGACGACAAGCACACTCACTTCCCCTAGTAAACACACAAAGGGAGAGTTTGGAAGACCATGCAAACACTCTCGGGGCGCATTTCGAACAGGTCTTCAGCTCATCCCATTACATTCCAGCGTTCCAACGATACAAAGAAAGAATAGAAAAACAGAAAATAGAATGCCAATCTACAAACAATGAGGCATACAATGAACTATTCGTCTTAGCTGAGCTACAAGCATTGTTAAACTGCTGTAACAGAACTGCCCCAGGCTCCGACCGTATATTATACGAAATGCTCAAACGTCTGCCTCCTGAAACCAAAAAAACTCTCCTTTCTTTGTATAATGCCATTTGGTTTTCCGGTGAGATCTCTTCTGCCAGGAAAGAAGCAGTCATTATTCCAATTCTTAAACAGGTCAAGAACCCATGCTCAGCATCAAGCTACAAGGCCGTAGCATTGACGAGTTGCCTTTGCATGGTTTTTGAAAAAGTGGTAAACAGACGACTGATGCATTTTCTTGAAACAAATAGTTTGCTTGACCCATGCCAGTGCAGGTTTCAAGAGGCTAAGTCGACTGCTGACCACCTTGTCTGTATCGAGGCACAATTTCGTGATGCTTTTATTCATAAAAAATTCTTTCTATCGGTTTTCATCGATATGGAGAAGACCTATGACACTACGTGGTGCTTTGGCATACTTGTCACGTTGAGGTGTGAGGGGTAGAATGTTCGCAATAATAGAAAGTTCCCTGTCCAACCGGACATTTCGTGTCCGAGTTGGCACTCTCTTATCTCGAATATTTGTCCAAGAAACAGAAGTGCCACAAGGAGGTGTATTGAGTTGCACACTTTTCATAGCCAAATTAACTCCTTACGCTTGTCTCTCCCACGCAATATTTTTTACTGCACATATATCGATGATGTTCAGGTTGGTTTCGAATCGTGCAACCTTTCAGTGTGCGAACATCAGGTTCAACTAGGTTTGAACAAGGTTTCTCAATGGGCGGATGAGAATGGCTTAAAACTCAATGCACAAAAGAGAACTTGGGTCTTGTTCAGCCGAAAGAGGGGTCTTCATCCCGACCCCAACACTGACCTGCATGGTGAACGTCTGTCTGTGAAGACCGAGCATAAGTTTCTGGGCCTAATATTAGACACAAAACTAACCTTCGTCCCATACATCAAGTATTTGAAAGACAGGTGCTTGAAAACCATGAATATTATGAAAGTTTTATTACGAACTACATGGGGCAGTGACAGGAAATGTCTGATGAATTTATATAAAAGCCTCGTATGCACGCGTCTAGATTACGGTGCTGTAATCTATCAGTGTGCGACACCATTAGCCTTAAAGATTTTCGACCCTGTGCACCATCTAGGCATTCACCTCTCTACGGGTGCTTTTCGAACTAGCCCCGTAGAGAGTCTGTACGTAGAATCAAATGAATGGTCGCTCCATCTACAGAAGTGTTACATGTCTTTTACATACTATCTCAAGGTTAATGCAGACGAGGAACATTCAACTCACTCCACAATTAATGATCTGTCTAATTCTACATTTTTCAATAACGTCCTTCGCTGAGACAGTCCTACTCACTCCGTGTCAGGAGGCTTGCTGAGGAAACAGCTGTGCCACTTAGAGAACACCGCTTGATGGCTCCAGCAGTATATTCGCCATTGTGGAAATGGGAAGTTATAGACTGCTATTTATCTTTCATGGAAGTCACTAAACATGTGCCTATTGCACATATCCACACGCACTTCCTCGAACTCAAGCACAAGTACACTTGCCCAGAATTTTTCACAGATGCTTTAAAATATCACACTGGTGTGTCCTGTGCAGAAGTCGGCTTATCCTTTTCTCACTCAGGTATTCTGCACTTTGAAACAAGCATTCTCACCACAGAGGCTCACGCGGTATCTGTGGCCGTCAAGCATATTAAAGAACTGCAATAACGCGCACTAATATACACAGATTGGCTGAGCGTAGTAACGGCTTTGAAAACTCTGCGAAAACATAAAAGTCCGGTCCTTGTGTCACTGTACTTTCTGTTATGCAAGATCTATGCTCTCAAACGACATGTAGTGTGCTGGATGCCAGGGCACCACAAGATCGCTGGAAATGCGTTGGCGGATCAGCTTGCCGCATCTGCTCAAGACAACGCTGCCGCCAATACATCCGTAGCTGTCCCTGCACTTAATCTGAAACCTTTCCTATGACGGGAGCTCAGGGCATTCTGGCAGTGCCTATGGGATAGGCAAACAGAAAACAAACTACGTACATGTAATCAAACCGATCACGCTACACACAAGTCACATTTACAAGACTACAGATAGGACACACACACTCGACACATTCATACCTTTTGTCTGATGGCGATGCACCATTGTGTGAGAGATGTGGAGAACCGCTCACAGTTCTCCACATCTTCATCGAGTACAGTGATTTAGATGCTCTCATAAAAAAAGCACCTTTTATTACCATACCAACAACAGATACCTTTGCACCCATCAATGTTCATCGGTAGAGAATCCCGTTTCACACATAAATCATTGCTAGCATTTTTAACAGACATACGTACTTTTAACGTAATATACCCAGGTTGTCGGTAGCACAATCTCTGAAGAGAGGTCGCTGCTACGGTAGCTACATCTCCATCACTGTCTATCGCCTTTTGCCATTCACTGTCACTGCACATATCTCACGTCAATGTCATGGTTTTGATGCTTCTATGTTTTTACCCGCGCCAGTGCGAGGAATTTTAAGGCCCTTTTACAGCCACCTATCATAATCATTGTTCGCATCACTTGTTCATTGACCCTGTGCTTTTTGGCCATCAAATGGCCCTTGCACTATAAAACACCACACATTATCATTATAATGTTTTATGTGTTTAGGCATAATTCCTACTCACTATGCTTGGTGCCCATTGCAGGAGAGACGCTATGGTGGCATCGTTGATTGCGTCATTTGAAGCTTATGAAGACTTAGTATCTAAAACCCAGAAAGGAATTGAGTTCTATAAAAAGATGCAGACCAATGTGAGCAAGCTCCTGACCAGGCTTCGTAGTGTCATCAAAGTGCAGGATGAAGAGCGTGCACTGCAGCTGGAAGCACAAGCACGTAAAGGTGTGAGACCCCTAAATGCTTCATGTTAATTATTTCTGTAGCTTTGCATACTTTATGATTCACCACTTCATATCACAGTGCTTGAAAAGTGTTGGCAAGTTGTTCTTACTTTGTTTACTTTTGTCCTGTTCAGCTGGAAAACTAGGAGGAGGCCTTCCTAGTTCATCATCAGGAAGCATGAAGCTGAAGGACTTCTTGCCATATATGACAGGTCAAAGCATGCCAGTTCCAGCACAAACAACTGGCTCTTCCGCCTACTACCCAACAACCAGTTACATGGGTTATCAAACGCCACAAGCCATACCTCAAGCAAGCAGTGAAAAAGGCACTGCTGAGGCTTTAGATAAAGCAGCAGATGTAATGGGTATGGGCGTGCGTCCCACACCGCTTGGATCTGAGCAGACTTCTCCTCAGCTTTCTGCCCAAAACGATGGCTATATTCCTAGTGCCTACGCAACACCGCCTTTCTCTGAAAGCTTCTCAAGTTCTGATAAATATGGCAAACTGTCACAGATGTCAGTCAGTAGCTCTTTGCAGCCTGGCATTTCAAGCCCTTCGATGGCCTATCAAGCCGGTTATACTGAGGCAGCATCAAGTGTTCCATCTAGTATGAATGCTGCCATACCTTGCAGGAATCCTGCTGTTATGCCAGTTGAAAGGACACCTATGGGGACCATGTCAGAGTACCATGGTTACTCAGAGTACACACCATCAGGCATGTACAACCTGCCAACCAGCCCTGCATCTACTCTGACGTATACATTTCGCAATGCTAACCTCCTGTCACAAGGGTCTGAAAGCCAACGGCCACCCGAAAGCTCTAGTTTCATGGCCTCCACTAGCAACACGTATGCCTATGGTCAGAGTGTGATGAGCCCCCAGCAAGGTGCCCAACAGGGTATGTCCTATCAATCTTATGCCAATGCAATAGCAACGTCAACAACTCTTCCTGCACAGCCAGTGTACTACGGACTTGGCTACGGCCAACACCCATCTACGCTCAGCATTCAGGCACCCGTTTCATATGCTCAAAGTTACAACCCTCAGCAGCAGGGCACACATGCATCAACACCCTGCCAACAACCAGCATCTGGAGACAATCATTCTGCACCAATGGCTTCTATGTATGGGGTGTACCCTGGAAGCTATTATGCCCGCGGTGCTGACCAGGCTGATCCACAGCAGCAACTGGCATTTCAAGCTGCAATGCCACAGTCATCAAACTTGCAATCTTATGCCAACAACTCATGGGGTTACCAGTCCCCACAGGTGATGCAGTACCCTTCTACAGTGGGATCAACATCTGGAACAGCAACGGTAGAGGCAACAGGTGTGGTACCCTTTCAGCCAGTGGCAGCTGGACCAGCATGTGATGTTGCTGGTGAGGTCCGTGCTTCACAGTCTCTGCAGCCTGGGACTTATGTGATGGATTCCACTGTGCCTCTTGTGCCTGAGGCAGCCAAAAAAGACCTGCTTTCTGCAACACTTGACTCCACGCCGGATGCAAATGCTCAAGTAGCTGTCCTTCAACCGCAGGTACGTGTGCAACAAATACCCTGTATATTTACAGCACTGTATTTATGGCAGAGCTAGTTTTCATTGACTTCAGTGTAACTGATAATTTGTTATATCCGTGTTCATTAGTTGAGGTTTGAGTGTGCAGTGAAATGTCTGTAATTCGATTTGGTTTATTTTAAATCTTACGTAGTTTCTTATGTTCCTGCAAGTATTGCAAAACAGTCCTGCAAAAACCGGCACGGTGGCAGAAGGGTTAAGAAAGGGAAAGAAAACAATCACCCAATTGTAGGACGAAGCCACTAGGAAATCCGTGTGTATTTTTCAGAAGGAAAAGCCTCTTAGTTGCCGAAAAACGTCCTGCAATACTTGTGTCCTTGTGCTTCTAGATGTCAATAAATTTGCCCTTGTGGTAGCTTTCTGGTTGTTAGAGCGACTGCCCCGAATAAGCATTTGTGCTGCGTTCGATCCCCTGACCTTGACAAATTTTTTGGCAACTAAGAGGCTTTTCTTTCTCAGAAATCGGTACGGATTTTCGTCGTGCTACTATCAGGTGGTTGTTTTCTTTCCCTTTTTCTTTTTCATGTTTCTGTAGCACATAAATGCTGATGGAAATTTCACCAGGTAATTGCAGTAGCCAGTGCCTTCCTTCTTGAACTGCGACTTCCTAGACCTACCGAGCAGTACCAGTTTTCTGCTAATCAAGAAAGAACACCTTATGGACACCTGGGCTTTTAAGAGGTGCTGCCATATTTCTGAACTAATCTGCTGCGTGTGAAAAGTATGTTGACCATTATGCGTACTTATACACTGTGAAGGCTGCATCAAAAATGCTTAAACAGGTCATTATTAGCTCGTAATGGTGCTCTGCAGTGAACGGTGGCCTCACATCAATATGACCAAGATTTTATATATCTATTTGTTTGTTAGCTTCTAGGGTCACTTTTGCCCTCATTCTGCTTAATTTTTTTGTCTGCTATTATTCAAAGTGTATGTTTGTTTTCCTTGCCCTTTAGTATTGTCCTTCCTTTTCTTCTCTTTTCTTGACCACAGGACAGTTCAGATGTTCACCAACAGGTGAGACAGTGGCGATGCTCGTAGCCTTTTCTCTTCATTTACTTCATTATATTCCTATCTAAAAAAGTAAATAAATAAGTAAAAAAGTTACGATAAACCAACTAGGTTATTAAAAATATCATATCAACACCACTAAAAACAGATCGAAGCACTCTCATGTTTGCATCAGTTAATGTATATTGTAACCTCTTGTGCAGTAGATAGGTCAGTGTGTGCCAGTGTTCATTGCTTTCTTCCCGTGATTATTTTTAGTATAGAAATTCATCTGATTAAAATGGTTCACAATCTCACAGACTGAATTTCATGTGAATTTAAAAATCTTGCTAACCTTAAGGTCACGGGCTTGATCGGTCACAGCGGCCACTTTTTATTGACCACAGCAGCCACTTTTCATATGGATTGAAATGCAAAAACATTCGTGTAAATAATTTCAATACATATTAAAGAATTCCGGGTGGCTAAAAATATTCTAGGTTCCCCCACTAAGGCATGTTTTGTAATTGTGCCATGGTTTTGGCACTTCTAACTCTACCAACTATTACAAATTCAAAAACAACACGATAACACCACAAATCATTATTAATTCGGAAACCTACATCACAACGCGTGCTGAGTTGTAGCGTGAGTACAGTAAAGGCTCGAACTTACACTCTCATCCCGGCACAGCCCTGTATATTTCTATGGGGGAATACTCCCGCTGATTCAAACACATTATCCACAATGATTAATTTGTACTGGGAACACGTGAAGTCGGCCTAGAGGTATCAGGATGTGCAAAACCAAACTAAACCAAATTTACTAGAGGTGTAAAACAATGAAACAGCAGCATTTCTCGGCACATTAAAATTTTGGTGCTGCACTGGAGCTCTTGGGCAAGCTGCAAGTGATGATCATGTAGTCACAACAAAAGAAATGCAAGCAAGCGAAAATTACTGATTACTTTTGATTTTGATTGTTTTAACTCTGCCATGTGAATAGATGTGTTTTGGAGCACATATAGTGCCATGTATTTCAGCATCAAGGCTTACTGTTCACATGAATGTATTCCAGTGCTTGTTCCTGGTGTATCACCACTCATCAATTAATTCTGTTTGCTATTAGAGCTTCATGAACTTGCCAGATAACTTGCCACAGATGTAGCACCACCTAATTCGCTATCACAAGTCCAGAGGTGGCTTCCTTGGTTTGTTGCCCGCACAGTGTAGCTCAACGTTCGTTCATTCTTGTGCTCACTATTTTCCGCACCGTTTAATTCGAACAATGTTATATTCTCCTTTGAGTTTGAATTTACGAGCTTTTACTGTATTATATTTTATTCGGGCCATGCTGACGCTTTGTAATTCCCATGTCATATATCAACTACAGGGTAGACCACCTATAACATTACTGCTTATAATGCAAGACCAGTTATAATGCAGTCTTTTTTTTTACTCTCGTTTACCGTCTCGTAGAACCCTATGTGTACGCATACCGCTTGTTGTACAGTCCCCCAAGCTACAATACCGATTATAATACTGTTGCTGGTAAATATTTGTGACAGAACCCGTAGCGAGTGCGCTTCTGGAACTAGGTGCACTAATTTCATTCCGAATTTAAATGGTAGTAAGCACCACTGGCTGCATGCTCAGCAAGTTTTGCGCAACTGCGACCCTTCAAAAAAGGTTGTTTTGGTTATAGTGCGATACCGTTTACAGTGGGGATTTCGCAACTACAGCGACTTACGTTATAAGCTGCCTACACTGTATTTGTAAGTGTGTCTGATTGTTTGATATTGCTTTGAAGTAATTTCTTTTGAAAGGTAAAAAATAACAAAACTTGTGGCAGGTTGACACTAGGGCACTGTTCTAAGAAATGCAGCTGCAGGATTATTCTCATTGGTCATAGCAACAAGTTACTGAGGGATCAGAGGGAACAAATAACTTGTGCTCAATGAAATTTGTTTGGCTTTAATCTTAGTAATACAAAAGTTAATGTTTTATATAAAACTGAGGAAGCATGCAATACAACGTTTGCTTTAGAGTTTTTAGATTAGCATGATCTTTTTCAAAAATTTTTGGGGCAGATTTGAAGTTGTTTTATAAATTTTTAACGCACCATCGGCATGACTAATTATATAACCTGTATATTTATTTCAAGCTTTTTGAATCTAAAGAGAATAAGACCTCCCCCCAACCTGACCACTCACTTGTTATTTATAGCTGCTATGAGATCTTCGGAGCTTCAGTAAAGCTTATCTGACCAGCCCATCCATCACAGAAGGACATGGTTGTCCAGAAAGCACGAATTATCTGACAGTGATACTGCACTACTGCATTGGAAATGAAATAACGAGGCAGGGATTTAAAATGTAGCCAGTAAAGCTTAGGAGCACATATGGCAGTGAACCCCTGTGAAGAAACATTGTCATTATCAGCGTTTGTTATATCCACTGCAAGACCAAGCCATCTCCCAATAATTTCCAATTTACCCTGTCTTGTGTAAACTGATTCTATTTTGTGCCTGAAAATTTCCTAATTTCATGATCCCACCAAATGTTGACATTCTCAGCTGCATTTTCCATCCCTTAGTACCTGTTCCGTTAATCTAGCCGGCCACTAGCTATCTGGCCTTTGCAATATATGGTCTGCCAGGTCTATTTCCTTCCTCTTAATGTTATATAGATTATTGGCTACATCTGTTTAAGGGTAGCAAGTTGGAAAATATTCATGACGGCCAGTATAAATTGAACATGAACAAAAAAAGAAGAAAAAAGAAACTATGGCACAGGGTGCTGTGTAATAGCTGAATATTTATTAGAAAAAGTAGCAACTATAAATATGGGTACAAAAGAGATTAATAGCAAAACTGCACAACCCCAAAGATAACCAACAACCACTGCAATAATATCACGCGTGGAGGATCACAACTGTGCACGTTCCTAGAAAGCCACTTCCTCATCAATCAAAGCAATAGAAGTAACATTTATTTGTTCCCTGACACTGTGCCGTTTTTGTGTCTCCTAATGTGATGCCTGTCATTTTCCATTCTGGTGAATGCTTCATAGTCTTTGACTTGTGTTTTCTTTAGTATTCTCCGAGTTTCTGCCTTATATGTTAGTACTGGCAAAATGCAGTGACCAATTGTACACTTTTTTTTTTTTAGGGACAGTGCAAAGTTGTTGGTCATTGCCTGCCAAACATTGCTCTCATTATATTTGAATTATCATTGAAACTAGTATAATGTATTATGCAGAATGCTAGGTGATGATTCACCTTACAAAATTTGTTAAAATAAAAATGGCAATCATGGAACTTGCCATAGGAGAACATTGTATTTGCTTGCATTTTAGGTATAAAGCTGGTTTTTAATTTGAGCACTATGTGGTGTGAATGGCATCTCAATGTGGATCAAGATGATGATTTTCTCACCTTTGAGATTTTTTTTTGTACAATTTAGAGATGTCAGTGTGCTTAAAGGGGCCCTGCAACACTTTTTGAACATAGACAACGCTGCCGAATGGTTGTAAAGGCTCTCGATAACACGCGAACCAAACATAGGGCAGCACGCATCTTGCAACTCACAATAAATTATCAGTCAGTTAAAAATCGCTTTCTCTTCTCTCGACAAATGATGGAGGAAGCTCAAAAATCAATCGTAGAAGGCTATCTATCAGCTATTCGCTGATTTGAAGGCGCGCCCTGTCGTTACAGGGATCGCCGCAGGAGGCCCCGACTTGTCCTTGCGTGCGTGCGCTATCACACTGTAAAAACCATGTATTCGGAGCGAAAAAAAAGGAAAACTTCTCAATACCATGAGGTGCGCGTGACATATTTTCTTTGCCCAACGCATACACCGCTGCTCAGCTTCCAGCGCTTTCGTTACACTTTCGTTGGGACGAAAGAAGAGAGAATGCGATTGCACCGTGCAACTAATCTTTGTAACTCCACTCGTACTGGACAGATTCTTAAACTTTTTTGCGGCGGCTGAATTCGCGAGGCAATAGGCTCTTTTAGTGAATCTATTCCATGGTTACTTGAAAAAGTGTTTCAGGGCCCCTTTAAAATATTTTTAATGCAAAATGCACCTGCCATAGAGGGTATTCATCACTCAGATATTCATATAGTGCAATGTTACAGGGAAAAAAATTCAAATGCAAAAATTGTGGCAAGTTTTCTACAGGCGTATATAGCAGAAAAATTGCAGTAATGTTATTGAGCTTTGAGCACTTTAAACAAATGCCTTTGCTTAATGTCTAAGCCCAATTTGGTATTGAAACAAGGAACTATACTCTTAGGATAATTTTTTTGATGAAATGTACAAGCAAGGTATAAATTCTCCATCACAACTAGCAGCGATCGTCTACACCACCTAGGTCTTCACAATACACTAGATAAGCTAATCGAGACACAGTGCATTGCACAATATACACGCCTGTCCCAAACTAAAACAGGCAGGCAAATGTAGGGTCAGCTAGGTATTAGATATACTCAACAAGGCATCAAAGTACATGTGACATTGGAGGCATGATAACTGCCCTTCCTATAGCCAAGAATATGCATCCCGCCCACAATAAGGGCAGACAGGGAAGCGGAGCACACGATATACAAAAGATATTATAGGTAACACGTGATTGATATGTGGTGTTTAACGTCCCAAAACCACCATATGATTATGAGAGACGCCGTAGTGGAGGGCTCCGGAAATTTTGACCACCTGGGTAGGCAACACATGTACACTGTATTTGTAGACGCAGCTAGGTTTATACACAAGCGCACCTACTCAGCTGTAGTGATAAGTTATGAAGGAAAATGTTTGACAAGTGCTACCATCAGTATGCCATATGTAGAAACTGCAGAGGAAGTAGCTGTCACATTGTTCATAGCACGGACAGAAGTGGACGTAATCATCAGCGATTCACAGACGGTGATACGAAACTTGACCATCGGTCGAATCTCCCCAGAGGCACTACGATTCTAAGATTTGGTAATAAACAAGAAAATAGTGTCCACCTCATCTGGACACCCAGATGATAGCAATGAGGCGGGCACACTGCATGGCTCAAAGGCTTACAGATTGAGCATCGGTTAGTCCCGCTGTAGGGAATACTAATGAGTGAGAGTGGGAAGATAGTGTGACTACATTTTATGAAATTACAGTACACCATCGATTGCAGAGGCATACATTTCCACCACCTCATCCTAAATTAAGTAAGAAATAGACAGTCCAGTGTGAGCAGTTTTAAAGACAATCCTACCTGAGTCCAGTTATCATGCACATAATACACTTGATTTATATATGACAGACAAGTGCAGACATTGCAACTTTAGAGCCACCGTAGAGCATATTCTATAAATATGTGCAGGAATAATAAATAATAGCCGTGATGCAACCTTAAACAGTGACTGCCTCCACGTGTGCTTAGTGTCTGCGTTGCTCAGCTCGGACTGGGAGAACCAACTTTGGGCCACCCAGCGAGCCGAGGAAGCCGTCAAAGGCCAACAACTCTCGGCCAAAGCCTAAGCGGAATCAAAGCCCAACCCATCAAATCACAGGGCACTCAACAAAGTTATTTGATATCATCTGAATAACACATATTGATAGATTCTGAGCAATTCAAAGGCTCACCTGTGACCAGAAAAACTTTTCTCTCCAAAATATTCTAACAATTCCAGTGCAAGAAATTGGCTTTTTTTTTTAAATACATTTGAGAAGGTTGCCGAAATGGCTGGGTCGTTGGGCTTGGAATCAGCCATATGCATCTGATATCCATGGAAATGTTGTGAATATGTTGTACCTTGTTCGAAGGGTGCACTACTGGGGGAGAAGTTTCGAGCTGGGGAACACGTCTCCTCTCCTCTAGCCCAACTGTTGTGGCTGCCCTGACTGATGTGATTGGGCATCGAGGCTGGTCAAGATAGCTTGTTGCTTGATATGCACTTCCTACTCACACATGCCTGGTGTTGAGGTCATGTAATGTCAAGTTATGAGACGTATTAGATATGGGCTGTCGGTCTGGGCTGGTTCATGTTGTCTCATTCGTTGAACAGCATGTGCAGTCAGCAAACAGTTTGAAATCCTTTGTATTGTAACAGATGTGAGGAAAAAATTTTTCTGCCTCTCTCTCTCTCCAATTCTGTTTGGTATCAATAGGCATGAGGGGCAATGCTTAAGTACATTAACATTTGAGAAGGGGAGGAGATGTGCAAGGCTTGGTTGAAAAATAAAGATTTGCTCGGAATTCTCACTCCTGTATTCTCATCTGTGTTTCAGTGGTACCTAGCAAAAAATTAGAATATGAAGTGTTTTTTTATGCTAAAACATGAATTTGATCAAATGTTAACTCTTATTCATTATTATGACAATGCTAAAGTATCACTTGGTGTTTCTGTATCTTTGTTAACTTTTGTCACAGCTCTCACACATTCTCTGGTGTACAAAGAACTTCACCTTTGTTAATAAACATAACCACATTTTTGGCTGCTTTTAAAAATGTGATAGCATTATAAAGCAAATTCACATTTTGGGTTATTTTATTTCAAAGCTGTACATGAGCATTAAGGTTATTTAAAGTGAAGTAGTTGCACCCCACTTGACATGAAGTGCTTGGTTTTGCAGTGTAAGCAGTGATATTCAAAAGGTCTTTATAAAGAGGGGTGCATTTGTGAACACTGCAGTATAAGTTTGTGGTCTATAATAGGTGTACTTTGTCTTTGTCATAATAGGAAATAATGTGAAACAAACAATGCAAAGCATTGTAGGATATTATAGTTCTGCTTTCCGTTTCAGGTGCTTTCAAGTGACAGCTGGAAAGACCGGGGCAACAAAGCTGAGGAGAAATCTATGGATGCCCGCATGGTTGGGAAAGATCCTTTGTCAGACCCTGCTGCTCTGGAAAAGTTTATTACAGAAGTAGAACGTTTTGAGAAGTATGTTGAAGGCCTCACTAAAAAGTCCCTTAATGGCCCCACTCTCTTGGAACAAAAGTGGAAGGTAAGCTGTATTTATTCTTGGTGTTTGTTGTAACTAAATGACTATGTGATTGTAGATATTGACTGCAATCTTTTGCACTGTATTCCTAATGCACTATTCACAATTTTCAGGAATACTTAGATGCTCAAGATAGGGAGTCTCGAAAACTTTCAATATCAGTGGCACGATGCTACCCAATGAAGAACCGCATTCCAGATGTTATGCCATGTAAGTTCACATCTTCAAGTTAGGCAGTGAGCGTAGTCCTGAACTTTTTAATCTTTGTACGAGAGAAGGAAAATTATAAGCTGAAAAGTAAGAGAACAGTTATTCTATACATTAAGGGGTACTGACACAAAAACTTTAGCCTCGTGTTTTTTTGCTGCAACATTTTGCTGGGGGCCTCTAAGTCATAACACGACGCATAACTTGCTGCAGTGCTCGGCGGATAATTAATTATGTGCCCCTCATATTACTGACTTATCTCACTTTCGTTTTAAAGAACGTCAAGCCGTCAGGTAGAACTATCACCACCTAGCATGTGCAGTGCTCGACCATGTCAGCCCAGCGCATTTCGACGCTCTTCCACAATGTCCGCATCAATAAGTCCTTTCCATTGGAAAATGGGACAGCAGTTTCACCCATAGGTCGGCAAAAATTGTGGAGCTCACTAAGACTCGCTTAAGAAATTTATCTTGCTTCTTGGACTCGCTCGAATTCACCAAAATTTTCCTGAGGCGGACTCACTCTTACTCACACTTGTAAAAAAAAATTTTTTCAGTCGGACTCACTTGGACACAACCTCGCCAAAATATTACGCATCCGGACTCACTCAGACTCGTGGCTCGATCTGATTTTGAGTGATTTTACTCGTGAGTGCGTTCGTCGACCTATGGTGTCACCAAACACAAAACTTTCAACGCGTACGTCGCTGCCAGGGACCCACTAGCAGCCACCAAGAAGTAGTCTGCTAAAACAAAAGTGGCAAAAAAAAAGGGCAGCTATGATACTATGAGGGAAGTCGGGGAGCTCATTGTGGGGTCACTTTTGAGGGTGTCGGTGCCCAAGGGTGTCGATCATGCATGCGAACTACAAAAGTCATGTAAAAACCCCTAAGGTAGTATATTCGCTGTTTATACTTTGCAGATGACATATGCATGTTCTCAGGAACTGATCCTGCAGGCTATCTAGGCCTCAAAATTTTGTGCCAATACCCCTTTTAAAAAAATAGACACATCACTTGATTGTGTTTTATATTCTGATCTTACAGATGACCACAACAGAGTTGCCATGACATCGCAGAGGGATGACTACATCAATGCTTCTTTTGTCAAAGTGAGCTTGGGAAGCCTTTCTACCATAGAACTTAAGTATTTTGTCGTACCAACAGAACAGCACCATTAAAGGGCTGGATATGTCACACTGCTGTAACATTGCATGCCTTTCAGTGGTTGATGGGCAGGAAGGACATGGTGCCTAAGATAAGTCATTTAAGCACAAAATCATAGTGTACATAATGGTGAAGCAGTTATAAGTATAGCAAACTGAAAAAACAATTAAATGGCGAATTTTGCTGACAGGCATTCTACCAGTAGTGGTAGAATGCATGTAAAAAAAACTCGCTAGCAGTAGTACATTTCATTGTGATAAATGGACCTTGTTATGTCAATTCTTATTGCGTTTGGTCAAAGACACTAGTGAGAGGAAGTTTATTTATACAGATGAGCAAAGTGTACAAATAACAATGCCATCTCTCAGTACTAGCTTCATTCACTTCCTGTCCCAACTGAAGATATTGCAGCAAAAACTTGAAAAACATCACTTGGCTGTGACAGTCACAGCATCAGTATGGCAGTGTTGTTATTTGCATGTTTGACACAAATTCTTTTCCATATTTTCTCAGAAAGCATGAAAAAGTGTGTGTGTGTGTGTGTGTGTGTGTGTGTGTGTGTGTGTGTGTGTGTGTGTGTGTGTGTGTGTGTGTGTGTGTGTGTGTGTGTGTGTGTGTGCGCGTGTGTGAGAGAGAGAGAGATAATTCAGGAGCCAGCAAAGCCGTACGTGTGCAATAATTCAGCGCATGAGAAAAAAAATTACTAAAGAAATAAAACACCTCATATTGCTATGAAGCACTACCAAAGATTAAGACGGAGATGGCATGAAAGGAGACAGCAGTGCCCGATTCAATGTGGACTTTGCTCTATGTTGTATGCCTGGCTCCAAGTTATTCAAGTCCAAATATTAGCTACAGCACCTTTTCTCCCTGTTACAATATCTTAATATATAAGGTGGTTTATATTGATACAGGGAAAATGCCTTCTCAGCTATACTATCGTATTTAAAAGTGAAGCTGACCTGTAGTGGGATCTGCGTTAGCTTGCGCTTTGTGAGCTATCTGGCTTTCCGATATGGGGATTAGCAGGGAAGCCTACTCATTGAGAATAATGAAACCAACGGCTGCTTAGTAACATATTCTATTTATCTTCAGCGGCACCTAATGTAATACACACCTTAGTACAGCACGTTGCCTGCATAATAGTGCTTCCACATAGTGCATTTGGGCATCAGTCATTTGAGGCTTGCACCAACATGCACCTATCATGCTGTACCATAATCCTATAGTGCTAAGGCCACAAGCACACCTGGCATGGAATGTTTGTCACTTTGAACCATACTTATTCTGTATTGTCATTTCTTTGAACTGTTTTTGTCATAAATATCAACTAGCTGGATACTGAAGAGTTAATGTTACCATTGTCTATGCTTTCCTTGACATGTTGTTTGCTTAATGGTATGATGTAATTAATGAAAATCTTGATTCCTTGCAGAAGCAGTGCAATGTCATATATATTATGTGACAGAATAATGTCACAGTATTAAATATGTGTGTGCTCATTGGCTTTCTATCAATACTTGTAACCCACTCTCAGGACCTGACGCCATTTTGCCCAAGCTACATCCTCACTCAAGCCCCTCTGCCAGCAACATTCTCTGACTTTTGGGCAATGGTATGGGAGCAACAAGCAGAAACAGTAGTGTGCCTCCAAAGTAACTTTGAGGTGAGTTTTGCTAGAGAGAAGTTTCGGTCTTGCCAAATCATTTTATTATCTTACATGCAGCTGAAGAGCCACATCTACTGGCCTGTGGAGAAAGGTCAACAGATTAAGCATGGAACACTTACTGTTTGCCTACAGTCTGTCAAAGAGAAACAGTTTTACATTGAGCGTATGATCAACATCATCAACAGTGATGTGAGTTTGAGCCCATCAGTAATGTTTACGGAAATTTTACTTGTTCTCCTGTTAAAAGCAACTTGTTTTTTTCAGAATCCAAAGGTGTCTCGAGTAGTTATCCACCTACAGCTTCTAGACTGGCCACTCAGGTAAGCAACTTGCTTAGCATTATGCAAATAATAGAAATTATGGTGATAATTTTACGTTACAGAGCAAGGTATGTATGGCCAGACTTTTGTATTTGATGTGCATATGGCATGCATTGTCATTTCCCTAGTTTTTTTTTACCCCAAAAAATGGCTTTTATGAAGATAACAGCTTGTCTTGTGTTTATATGCAGTACTGATGGATTGAAATGTGTCAATTTAAGGTTAAGCAGTTCACATACCTTTATTTCTTTTGTCTTCAATGTATATTACATTTGCATAATATTGACTCATAGCCTATATAAAAGGCTATGTTGCCTTCAGTGGCCTGATTTGTCTCAACATGTTGTGGTTATCTTGAGCAATTGCACACACCTGTTAGATTTGCAGCTTTACTGTCGCAGTTCATCCTCTGCTCACTGTGCGGTATGTGGTGTATATTTATGTGACTCCTTTGTCTTTTTTTCAGTGGGAGTCCAGCTAGTCCAGCACAGTTGCTCAGCTTCATTTCGGAAGTCCACAACTTTCATAAGACCCAAAGGAATCACTCACGTCCTATTGTGGTGCATTGCTTGTACGTTTTATATTTACTCTCTTTTAAAATATCATGGTTTTATCCTTATGACAAGAACCTCTGTATGCAAGGCGTTCAAAACCAATTTCTTTTTTTTTTTATCCTTCTTGCTGAATAATTAACTGCTAAGATGGTTCAGCAGAGCCACATTTACTCAGCAGTGTAATTCTTGAGTTCTCCCCCGACAAGCCACTGCCGCCTCGTATTCTCCAAGGTTTCACAAGTCATCCGGTGGAAGAGTACCTACAGCCCGCTACACGTTGTTACAACTGTCAGCGATATGGACATGTTGCCAAATCGTGCCATGGACAACTTCACTGCAAAATCTGTGCAGGAGCACATGATTACAAAGAATCCACATTGAGGAATCATCCCAAATGGGCCAATTGCAATGTAGACCACGTAGCGTCATATGCTGGTTGTCCGAAACACCAGGCAGCTACTCGACTAAAGCGACAAGAAATTTTGCTTGGAAGAGCTCCAAAAAAGGGATCGCCTTGTCCGAATTTTGAAACTGTGTATCCACTCCCTGTGACTTCAAAATCACAAAAGAGTACATCACCACTGTCGTATGCGACGGTAGCCAAGCGTGCTTCAGCCCAGAAAAACAAGAGTACAGCCAAAACGGACCATAGAGGACGATGACCAAGCGTTCAAAGGCAGACAAGCGACAGCAGGACACCGAAACCATCAGCAACTCAGGATAACCAAGCGTCTACACCTTTCACCTCGCCAAAGCCAAAGGCACAACAGCAACATGCACTGAAAAAAAGTGATGTGGATATGGTTATGTCAATGCTCTTCCTTGCTTTGAAGGCAATCCTGCGTGTATTTCCACTGGTCAATGACCTACCAAAGGTGAGCGCAGTTCTTTCATTAGAGCCTCTAGCAGTCCAACAAAACATTGTTGTATAGCAAAATGACTCTACAAATGAACAACTGTTTCCGCAACACAGCTGTGTTTCAGTGGAATGCCAATGGCCTTAGGTCCAAGGAAGCTGGTTGCTCAGTATAGCTTCCCCGTTCTGTGTCTAAATGAAACCAACGTTGGCCCTGACTTTAGGATTTCTAACTATGTCACATATGCATCAAGAAGAAATCCAGGCTTGAGCAGGGCACTGTTATGCGTACGGCGCGACATACCCTCTTTTGTTTTATACTCGTTGGACTCGAACGTTCCAGAATTTATAGGGTGCAAAATTCAATTCCAGAAACTTACCATCACTGTAATTTGTGTTTATTTGCAACCATCTACACGCATCTCCGAATCATCTCTGGTTCATTTATTTGGTAAAGCCCAGGAACCTGCCCTCATCTGTGGAGATTTCAATGCGCACAATACCACGTGGGGCAGTACTCATACCGATTCACGTGGGAGAACACTCGAAAAAGCAATTGATAGATGTGGTCTTGTTGTACTGAGTGATGGATCAGTAACGTTTTTAAGAGGTAATAATTATGCCAGCTGTCTAGATTTGGCTATAGCCTCTCCTGACATTGCACGAGATATGAACTGGTGTACAGACCTCGAGTGATCATTACCCAGTTCTTATGCAAAACCCAAGAATGCAATGCAAACGACCACATTGATTTCAAAGCTAACTGACTGGAAACTATTTCGTGAACATACTGGACGTGACTTGATGGGAGTCAATGAATTGGATACATTTATGTCCTGCATTAAAAGCAGTTACTCCCGTGCGACAAGGTTACAGCAGGCCACTCCAGTGTAGATGCAGACTATGAGCGCCTACAACCTATTAGAAGGCGAGCAGAACGTCGCTATCGCCGCACTGGGAGGCTTGAAGATTATAAGAAGAGTCAGGCCACACACATTCAATCTAACCGACACATGCAAAAGTAAAGTCTGAAAAAATGGCATGATTTCTGTAATGCACTGACTCAATTTACTCCACTTCCGAAAATCTGGCAAACAATCACTGCTCTAAGTCATCCATTATCCCAGTGAAACCCATTCAAAGCATTGGCCATATCTCTTGGATTATCCGAACGTGATGTTTCTAGTAAGTTTTGCACAATGCTGACTGGAACTGGGCAATTGGTTCACAACACTACTGCACTGCCTAGTTCTGTAGAGCAGCAAATCCAAGATGCATACACTTTATCACATACTGGACAGCACGTATTCTCTATTAGAGTTGCGTACTGCTCTATCACTAACCCGCATAAGAACGGCAACCAGTCCCGACAACGTATCGTACAGTGTTCTGAAAAATCTAGGACCCAACGGCAGGCCAGTTCTTCTACGGATATATAACGGCATGTGGACAAAGGCGTACGTTCCAATGTGTTGGAAGGTCGCGAGAATCGTCCCACTGCTGAAGCCCGGTAAATCACCGCTTTCGCTTGACTCATTCCGGCCAGTCAGCCTCACTAGCTGTGTATCTAAAGTAATGGAAAAAATGGTTGACAGAAGATTACAGTGGTGGATTGAAGCTAACAACTCACTTCCAGAACAGATGGCTGGCTTCAGACGACGGCAATGCATCATGGACTGCGTCCTCGACCTCGTTACATTTGTAGAATATGAGATGAGCTGTGGGAACATGGCTGTTGCGGCGTTCATAGATATTAAGAAGGCGTTCGAATCTGTGAGCCATCTTTCTGTGCTGCACGGGCTTACCTCACTAGGGGTTCATGGTCGTATCCTTCAATGGATCGCCAACTTCCTATGCAACAGACAAATATACATTTCAACCAATAACGGAGATAGCGATCGCTTCAACATGAGTAGAGGTGTACCCCAAGGAAGCATTCTAAGTCCGCTTCTTTTCAATGCTGCAATGGCAGGTCTTCCAGAAGTACTGCCCGAAGCCTTGAGCATATCCATGTATGCAGACGACATATGCATATGGACGTCTCACAAATCACTAGAAGTGATCGAACATCGGCTTCAACGAGGACTAGACGCAATAAGTGATTACCTCAAAGAGTGAGGCATGCATATTTCTCACGCCAAATCTGTAGTTCTGCCATTCAGGAGAAAAAGAGTGAAAAACTTGAAGCTTTTTGTGGATGACCAGAGAATCGAAATCGCAAGAAAGCATCGCTTCCTTGGCGTTACCTTAGATAGCCAACTCAGATGTAGTCAGCATATTGCTGATCTAGAAAATCAAGTCAACAGCACCATAAATGTTATACGTCACATCGCGGGAACAAAATGGGGCGGTACATCAGCGTCTCTCCTCCACGTTCATTGTGCACTAATCTGACAGAAAATTGCCTACTCTTCGCCAGTTCTCCACAACATCTCTCAGACGTCGCGACACCGACTTCAGCTGTTACAAGCACGAAGCTTACGCATGTCTGGGGGTTCCACAGGCAACATCAAGTTCTTTGACACTGGCAGAGGCAAGAGAACCAAGCTTTACAGTAATTAGAAATGTGGAGACATGTCGGCACCTCTTTCGTCTAGTCACGCAACACCCTTCCCATCCGCTCATATCCAACATCGTGAACCGTGCTGGAGCGCAAATACACCAAATGTACCGACAGTACATTTTCCGGCTTCCTGTGTCGACACATTGGCCACTGGACCAAAACTACTCTCAATGGCTGCTTGAGCTACGAACTATTGAAACGTCAATAGAAGGACTTCGCAGCAAACATGAAGTGCCAACCCTTGCCGCTCAGCAGTTGGCCTCACATCATCTGTTTGACAAGTACCAAGGATACACTCACGTGTACACTGACGGCTCCGTCACCAAAGAGACAGCGACATCAGCATTCAAAATTCCGGAATTGCACGAAGAATATGCATGTCGGTTGGGCCACCTCTCTTCTTCAACAACGTCGAAGCTCGTAGCGATTTTGCTAGCCATAAGCTTTATTAAGCTGTCAACGACACCAAAAAAATGGTAGGTAATTACAGACTCTCTGGCAGCACTGGCATGTGTGGAAAGTGCCACTTCAAGACACATTGATGTGCGTATAGTATACGCTATACTAAAAGAGCTCTCAGAAGCTACGAAGTCGAATCATCGAGTGGCATTTCAGTGGGTTCCCAGTCACTGCGGAATTAAGGGAAATGAAATGGAGGATGAGTTGGCGAAAACTGCTCATAATTCTATGCAAACGTGCCTCTTTCCGGTATCTCAATATGGTGTAAATAGAATTTTAAGAACAACAAAACGTGAATTATGCCTGTCTACCTGGTTCACAGACAAAACAAAGGAATCGATCCTATATTATGTTGATCCTAATCTTGAATACCAATTAGACCGTGACCTCCCAAGACGTATCGACACACTCATTCATCGCCTACGACTCGGAACTGCTTACACAAAGCACTTTCTACTTCGTATTCATCGTGCAACATCGTCAGCATGTTCATGCGGCCACGGCGACGAGGATATCTGTCACCTCTTGCTCGACTGTCCGAAACACGACACACACCGAAGGCGAATAGAACAAGAACTGCATAGGTTACATCCTGAGCGACCATTCGGGTTGAATAAAATACTAGGTCCATGGCCATCCAAAACAAACTACAAAGCAATGAAGGTGTTGCAACAGTTCTTCGAAGAAACGAAGATTTGTGAAGAATACTCAGCGGACAAAAGTTAAAAGTGAGCGTGTGTTCTACGTGTTTGTTCTGCCCATATAGGAGAACTTTTGCTCTCACCCATGTAGGACTGTATATATGTATATATGCTATTGTTTTTTCATATTTTTATTTGTACCAATTAAGTGGAAAGGGGTAGCCATCACCAAGTAACGGTGACAAAAACTCCTTCGTTTATTTTCTATTTTAATAAAATAAACTGCTAATAGTAGAATCTAGTTTTTAGAATATGTACAAAATTTGTATATATACAAGTGAGTTACTGACAGCATTACTGGGGATCCTAGTCACACGCGAAATTCACAAAAGAATAAGGATTTAGACCGTATACATCAGGAATTTCCTAATTGCCATTTGCAACTTATCATTGTCCTTAAAGTGGACAGTGTACAGCTCTTGCAATCAGCGAGTACTAACATATTTGACAGAACCTTGGAGGATAAAAAAAAAAAAAACTCAATAAGGCACTAAGGACCAAACAGCTTGGGGTGAAACAGAAAATGATAGGTGTAACTTGAAAAGATTGGAAAACAGCAGAGTCTATCGGAGAACAAACATGAGTTGCCCATATCAAAGTGTAAATTCAGAAAAAAAAGAAAGCGTAGTTGGCAGGCCACATAGTGCATTGGATAGGTAACCAGTGGTCAGTTAGTGACAGAGTGGATATAAATAGCATACCTGCTAATTCATCCAATTTGCCCTGGCCACTTTCTAATTCTGACCGATTCTCCCAATTGTAAGGGCATGACAATAGTTCTGAAAAGCAGCCCCAACACCCTATTGTGAATGAAAATAAGGATTATGAAGGACTGTGGTTCTTTAAGGTTTCTAGCCTTGAGGAGTGCCAACAATGTTCCAGAGAGCCCTAGGACTCCTCTCTCTTCTCACTGTTTAAAGGGGTGAGGGATTTAAAGGAGTACTGACACAAATTTTGAATTTTTCGGGGTTGGTTTAAATGAAAACAAGGGTGTTAGGAACTCTCAAAGGAGTGCCATAGTGCTTGGGATGCATCAAATATATTTTTAATAGTGCTGCTTTTAAAAGGCAATTTTGGTTTAGCTGCGAGAGAGCACTTTTGCAGTGATATATTAAACAGTGATGGAAGTGCTACACCAATTGCTCCAAACCTCTCCAAAAGAGAAATTCTGCTCCCTGCTGCTCAAAAGTGCAATATTTGCTAGTAACTGCTCGAAACCTGCTTCAAAAGGATGTTGGCAAACTCAAGCCCCGCCGCGGTGGTCTAGTGGCTAAGGTATTCGGCTGCTGACCCGCAAGTCGCGGGATCGAATCCCGGCTGCTGCGGCTGCATTTTCGATGGAGGCGGAAATGTTGTAAGCCCATGTGCTCAGATTCGGGTGCACGTTAAAGAACCCCAGGTGGTCGAAATTTTCGGAGCCCTCCACTACGGTGTCTCTCATAATCATATGGTGGTTTTGGGACGTTAAACCCCACATATCAATCATCATCAATCAATTGGCAAACTCAAAAAAATGAAGTTGAACCATGAGACCACCACGTGAGCCTAAGCGAAACCAAAAGCAAGCTGTACACACTATCATCCTAGCATGCTACTCAGAGGCGTAAATCCATAAAAATCGCAAGGGATGACACATATCAGGTCATTCGTATTTTTTTAATGTGGTTTATATTTTATTTATGTAAGAATTAAATAATGCTTTCAAATAAAATTAAAAAAAACGAGCATTGGGTCTGTGCTTGAGCAATTGAATTGTTCTGTTCAGTCTGCGTTTTATTTTCCTTCAAATTTTTACGATTTCAATAGTTCATACAGCCGAGGGCCATTTAACACAGAGACCGAGTAAAAAATAAAAAACCTTTTAAAAAGTTGATTGCGCTGTATTTAACTGTTTACTCAATTATATCGTGCCAAAGCTGAATCTCTAGGGGTACGCAAGGGGTGTCCTCCCCAGCCTGAACACAAGAAAAGTCCAGACTCCCCTGACCTCCCATGATTTACACCAATGATGCACTATACTAACTCATACTAGAATGTGGCATGTTTAATAATAAATATAAATATTCATTAGATGCTAAAGTGATGTTTTAGACTCCAGGAGTCGATAGGAACATGCATCTGCTCTGAATACACCAATAGCAACCCCTATAATTTTTTTCTGCTCCGAAGACACTTGAAGCTGCTTCAAAGCAAAATGTCGCTTCCATCACTGCTGTCTGACGTCATGGGAAGACTGCCACTCGCAACATACCAGCAGCAAACAGTTCTCAATTTGTAGTCAGTGGCACATGGTTCATGTAAATAATGATGAGCGAACTGTTGTCCAGATACTGACATTAATTTCTTCAATTAAGGCTGCATGAAGGACACAAATTTCACAAACCCAGTGAATGGTGTCGACTGCTCTTGACAGTGCTTTTTGCGGTGGAGCTGGTTTGCAGATGCCAGGTAGCAAAAATAACATAATTTTTTTATACTTGTAATCTGGCTCCAGTGTGTGGGGAACATTGATAGTGCACCCTAGGGAAAAGAAAAATTCCTTTTGTTTGGGGGGGGGGGGGAGGGGGTGCCTCAAAACTGTGTCAGTACTGTTTTATTAAAGGGGGGAAGTGGAACCCCTGGTTCGGCCTTTACTCAAGGGAGTGCTGCCATGGTGTTTCTGTGTGGCCTCTGTTATGTGTTTCAGCATGTTGTCAATAATCTCAGTGAGAAACTCATGAGAATGCATAAATATATCTCAGTGTTTCTTTTTCGGCCTTGTCCTGCAAGTGCGTTCTTTGCTGGTTTCTGTATCGCAACAACACGGTGACATATAAGGTACTTTGAGAGTATATGGGCTGTTCCCAGAACTTAATTTCTTATCGAATTGATAAAAGCATTATTATTGAAACCAAGTATCAGTGATTAGATCAGTTACACAAATTGTCATGCTGCTGAAACTGGCCGTGAATTCTTCCCAATCGACCCATGTTTCTGTCTCAATGAAAGGCATCGAAAGCAAGAAAAAAAATTTTTGGTGCAGGGTATTCAAGATTTAAGTGTTGTGTTTAACAGGACATCACACCGCAATCTTTATGCACTCTGATTTTATTTCACATGTTCTATAGTTGGCCAAGTATGTTGTGCTTATTACATAATGAGGCATGAAAGATGTGTCTAGTTTAAAGCAAACTTTATATCAACTGTTAGTATCAGCTTACCAGAGCCTTGGTACGAGGCATCAAGTGCCACCTGTAATGGTGAATGTTGTGAGTGTTCTTGTAACCAGCTATTAAAGCTGCTATGACTTTTGGGATGTTAAACGCAACATATCAATCAATTAAAGCTGCTATGGTTCATATAAATTATGCTTCCCGCAGATAAACAGCTATAGAACAACTTTCAGCACTGTTAGAGGGTTCTGTCATTTGGTATTTCAGGGGTGGTGTTGGGCGGAGCGGAGTGTTCTGCATTGTGTCAGCAGCCATCAAGGAAATAGCTGCTGGCAATGGCCTCCTGGACATTCTCAGCACTGCCATCAAGTTGGCCCAGAGCCGCAAGCTTTGTATTCAGGAGAAGGAGCAGTTCAAGTTCTGCCATGACGTTGTCTTGTATCATGCTCAAGACTTGCTGATAAAAAGTGAGTTTAACATAAAAAAAAGAAAACTCTGTTAACTATTACTGAACACAAATGTCTGTGGATGCATGCATGCATATTGATTAAATACGTATATACAGCTTGTCATTAGTGCCCCTTGAGGGCAGAGTTGCCAGGTGCTAGCAAAGTTAACAAGCATATAGTGATGGAAAAATAATCGAGAAAAGCGACACAACATTCCCAAAGAAACCCCAAGGAAGGGGAAAATTAGTGAATTTTCCCGTACATAGAAATATTTTCAATAATGAAAAAAAAAGTCCCTCAAGTACGAAGGGTAGTTGAAAAGACCACTGCAAATTACTTCATTCTGCAAAAACATGTGCCACTATGAATGAACGCACATATTAACTTTTTTGCCCCCAGTATCCTTTGCTCAGTTGAAGGCATGTTTACCAGTGCGTCAATAACGTTACTTGTTGATTCCCCCAACGTATGTTTTGACGTCAACACTCAACTACTTAAAGTGGTAACGAGCATTGAAAGTTGGGCGAGTTGGTATGGAAACATCTTGACAATAAACTGCACAGCAAGACGGGACACTAAAAAGATAAGACAAAAACGAGTGCAGGCAATGACTTGCGCTACTATGCTCGTTTTTGCCTTTTCTTCTTTTGTGTCCCATATTGCTGCAGATGCTCAGTCATCGACAAACGCATTATTGGGGATTGTGATGATAACTAAATTAATTATGCTTTCTGGGAAGGTGCAAATTCTTTCTGGGAAGCCGAAAATATGCGACAAGCGACCGGAAAACTTTATAAGCGACTCGGAGAAAAAAGAAGCCCAAATTCGCTTATTATAAGTTCGACTGGCAACTCTGCTTGAGGGTCAAATGTTTTGTCAAATGTGACCCCCCTTTCCCTATTTACTCAGTGTCAGTTATTTTACCGCACATACAAAATTAGTCTGCCACTCACAAAAATGTATCGGAATTTTTTTATAGGCCATGAAATGGGAAAATATTATCTACGGATATACAGGTGCATTGCTTGTTCACAAGTAAAAGATAGTCTGTAGATTTGGGACAGTTGGAGGAGTGGGATAGCTCGTCTAACTCTCCTGCTGTTACTTCAAAGATGTTAGCCCACTGCTCATGAGATCGTGCTAGCATACCAATTACCTGGCTCTAGTGACAGATGCGTTTGGTTGAGGGAGCTTTCTGTAACTTAAAAAAGCCTTTTTTGTATGGAAAAAGTAAGTTTCTGCTATTTTAGTGACAACAGTGTCTGATTTAAACCACTTTGTGTCCACTGTAATTAATTTTTCTCAAAAAACGTGCATCAATGTCATGCTTTTTTAATGGGGAACGGAAGGCCTGACAACTAAACTTGAGATGTTGAATGCATAGAGTTTTCTAAATATACACTAGAGGGAACTCTTGCGCTAGTGTCTATGGGAGCTGCAACGCATGGCACTTCAGCGAGCATGGGAATTATGGATAATACACGGATTTGCCTAGTGGTCGTACTTTACGTTCCTTTTAGCTTCACGTCGCTTGAACCTGCTTTGCCACGAAACAACAATCAACAAAGGTTCAGCAGTTGCGCTTCACCACCTTAATTTTTTAGGCTTACCATTTTGCGATAAGTGCATGAATTGCAGCCTACAGCAGAAGTGCAACAGGGTGCGTAAATGAGGTTAAACTAGCCGAAACGTCTTTAGCGATGGCTTGACACCCCCTGTCAATAAAAAAAGCCTCTTTTATCGACAGCAGACGTTAAAACATCGCTGGAGACATTTCTGCTAGTTTAACCTCATTTACGCACCCTGTTGTACTTCTGCTGTAGGCTGCAATTCATGCACTTATTGCAAAATGCTTGCTTATATGTAATAAAAGCATTTTAAACGAAAAGAGATTATTCTTCAAAATGCTACTTTAGTTTAGCACACTTCAGCATTCAAAATGTTCTAAGTGACTTTAGGTCCCACCCTAGTGTGATATCACATTACACAGAGCAAAAAGAAAGAAAAAAAGGTAGTACAAAGGTTTTTGCATATATATCAGGAAAGTATATGATTGAAAAAGAATCGGCAGAGGTTAGTATGACAGAGCTTTAAAAAGGAAGCACTTAATGCAGTCAAGACTTCCTCCGCTACCGGTCAAAAAAAGAAACAGCATTGCTGAAGGACTGAAGTTTTTCATGTGGAGAAGACACACTTATCATTGCCTTGGAAGATTCTGATGGCATTTCAGATTTTGATAATGACAGGCATGCCATTGTCGGATAAATCAGCTAAGCGAATCTATTAAAGTGGCAAAAGGCATTGTTGTTCTTGTCAGCTTTAGTAAAAAAGAATCTGGCATTCATTGCATTGGTGGAGCGAAAAGCAGTGATATTTTCAGTGTGTAGTTCCTGCAATGCCAATAATAAATATATTGATGAAGCTGCTACTGTTCAGGACTATCAGGGGAACAAAGGCTGTGCAATCCAGTTTTAAGTTTGATGTTGAAATACCGGCTTATAATGGGCGCTGGAGACATTAGGACCATCGCGTTGCTTGAGCCCACTCCTCCCATGTGGCATCCCACTTCACCCACAGAGGCAGGGGGTATGGTACAGACTTTAGCTATCATAAACTATTTTTTTCCATCGGCACCAGGCACCGTAGGAACCAACGTGTCTCAGAAGTTTGGCAGCTTGTTCAGACTTGTATTGTCATCTATCAACCATAGTTCTACTTTCAAGTTCCACTAAACTAAAAAGATAATTATGGGAAGTGTGCCAATCCTCTCAACTCTCCCCTAAAAAGAAATGGGAGCAGAAATGATAATAAAGCCAACAGAGCATGTGTACTATATTTACTCGCATAATAGGCACACTTTTTCTTCCAGAAAACGTGCTTCAAGTTCGCGGTGCGCCTATTACACGGGGTAAAATTTTCAATTTCAGACTACAGCATAAACCGCTAATAACGTATATCTCACCGAAGTCGCGAATATAATGATAAGAATTATCATTAATGATAAGAATTATCATTATGGGGGACTTTAACTTACCAGACATTAATTGGAACACAAAGGAATATTCATCACATGCTTCCGAAGCGCTGATTGATCTGATGCTAAATTTTAGTCTAGAACAAGTAGTTAGCCAAACAACGCGCTCACAAGGTACTGCAAACAACATACTTGACCTAATACTGCTTAGTGATCACTTTCAACTAAATACATTGCAAACTGGCATTATTGAAGGAATATCCGACCACGATATCCCGATATGCCACCTACCATTATCATGTTCTATTTCGAAAAGGTCCTTTGAAAGCAAAATCATTGACTTTGAGAAATCGAACGACGCTGGCGTTTTGACATCCCTGGCACATGAGTTCACATCATTTTCAGAATTTGCTTCTGATCCGTCGGCAGATATAAATGTCCTCTGGATAAAGTTTAAGGGCATAATACATGACTGCATTACCAAATTTATACCGTTAAAAACTAGGAAACCAAGAAAATACAGCCCATGGGTAACGCGCGAGGTTATACATGCCAAAAGGAAAGTTAAAAGGTTACGTCGTTCACTGAAACATACAGAAAGTCAATCAGTCGTGAAATCTAAGCTGATAGGTGCCAAGCAAGAGCTGAAACAAAAGTTGAACCAGTCACGGAAACAATACTTTAATACAATCCTACCAGATTTCCTAAAAAATAATCCACAGAGATTTTGGAATCACTTTCGTGCACGCAATACTTTGGCGCCAGAACGCACTCATGATGAAAATGCTGTCCAGGCTGATGTATTCAACAAGTACTTTCAATCTGTATTTACTACAGATAACGGGTTTCTTCCATCGGTCGTTTCTACAGGCTCCAGCATCGACCCACTTATCATATCTGACTCGGGAATCCTTAACCTTCTACTTGGATTAGATGCTAAAAAATCAAGCGGCCCTGACAATGTTCCAAATGAATTCCTGAAACGATACGCGGAATGGTGCAGCAGATACCTGGGTATTATCTATCGTTTTTCACTATCAACTGCACGTGTGCCAAATGACTGGAGGAAGGCAAAGGTGATACCAATTCATAAATCAGGTGACATAAACTCTCCGTCTAACTATCGACCCATATCCCTTACCAGTACATCATGCAAGATCCTAGAACATATAATTTTAAAACACCTGACAGTATATCTTGAACAAAATCGCATATTAACACCCAGCCAGCACGGGTTTAGACGCGGAATGTCAACAGTGACGCAATTAACGGAAGTTGTTCATGACCTTGCACAGATAATTGACAATCGCGGCCAAACAGACATTATATTCTTGGACTTTAGCAAAGCTTTTGATCGCGTGTGTCACAACAAGTTAATAGCAAAACTAGAGGCAATAATTGGCATCGGAAATATTTCTGCTTGGATTGGCGATTTTTTATCCCAGCGTTCGCAATTCGTCCATTTCAATGAAGCATCATCCGACATTGTTCCCATCTCATCTGGTGTACCTCAGGGCTCGGTCTTGGGGCCCTTGCTGTTTTAATTTATATTAATGACATCATCACTAACATGGAATGCAACATAAAGCTGTTCGCAGACGACTGCATTATCTATAAAGAAATACTGTGTTACGAAGACCACCACACCCTGAACAGACAACTTAACGTGATAAACACCTGGTGTGAACAATGGCAAATGTCTATTAATACCAGCAAATCTGTGTCAATGACGGTGACAAAAAAGAAGAACCCGTCAGAATTTACTTACTCACTTAATGACACTGAACTAACTAAAGTTTATGAACACAAATACCTAGGACTTACCCTAGCAACCGACCTCAAGTGGAACAAACACATTGCCAACATATCCTCAAAAGCTATCCGTAAGTTATTCTTTCTTAAAAGGTGCTTGAAGTCTGCTCCCACTCCTATCAAACTCCTCAGTTACACAACCTTTGTGCGGCCAGTGCTGGAATATGCTAACACTGTTTGGTTCCCTCACAATATTACTAACATAAATCAACTAGAAAAAGTTCAAAGAAAA